TATTGACCTTCTAGTGCTCAGCATCCTGTACAATCCCAACCAACCAAAAAAGAGGAAATAAAGGCGAACAAAAGGAAAATAAAGGGGAAACGCGCCCAAATGTCTGTTTTTTCGCCTGTCCGGGAAAAATAATGCAGATTTCCCCCTTTTTGTCTCTCCGTCTCTCAAATATCGCTGGATTGTCTACTGTTCGCCTAAATACACGCTGAATCGTCTAATTTTCGCCTGGATATACGCTGAATTGTTCCAAATTTCAAAACACCAAGCTATTTGTAACACTAGAAATTTGTGGATTGGTTCAGCTGGTCCGAAAACCGACTAGGGGGAATAACATACTTGATTTATTGTTTACAATCAACAAAGACTCTATCTCAGTGCATACCAGTCATGAGTTTTTTATGAGTGATCATCGAGTTGTATTGAGTATTATTCATTCTCTAAACACCATACAATTGAACTCTAAAGCTTCAGTGATGTACCAGAGCATAAATTTTGATCAACGAATCTGGGAACGGACTGAAACTCTCATTCAATGTTTACCATGGGAAACTTATTTTACGACAAATAATTTTGACATTGCGCTTTCCAATCTATACCACAACCTGATATACTGCCTTGACTGCACTGCTCCAGTTACTGGCCATGTGGCCAGTCAAGATGATGGTTCATTTAACGTACTGAATTGACTTCGAGCACATTTCGTAGATAACTGGAGAAAATCTTCATCAGTCAAAGTGCTATGGACAATCAGTACGTATTTTCTAGTGACTACTCATGATCTAACATGAACTCGAACCCATAAACTTCGAAACTACCACCAAAACATGATTTCATTCAACCACTGAGTCAGAATCTAATTATATCCAGTTTTTAGGGCCTCAAAGATCAACAACCTAACAGAAGTCATATATGTGGTTAATCGATGAAGTCAGAGTTGACGCTATTATTTATAAAGTGGACACAAGAACAGGTGATCTGAGGAAATGATAAGAAGTCTTGTCCTATGTATAAAAAAAGAGACCCTGTAATGAACGAGCACTCAGGTGGAAACAGTCAACCAAAAACTTATGATAATTAAGAGTATTTGAATTATAGTACAAACTAAGAATTCCAGAAATAACGCAATTGGATCAAAAAGTACAAGATAAGCACGAACGAATGTACTGTATTTGGAATTCGAAATCAAGCATTCAACAAGTACAAAGGAATCATTAGTTTATTCAAACACCACAAAATTACAGAATATCTTGCTGAAATATAAGAACAGTACACTAAATCTCCATCATGTGCCCTCAACATGCTGTATATTTCTTCAAGTTCACAATTCCTTTCTATTTTCCAGTCTATTCTCGTCAATTCAATCTTCTTAGTCTTCTGTTGCCAGGTCTTCCACTTCCGACAGATGTTACGTACTACTTATTTCCGTCGACATAAGTAGCATACACCACAACCCAATTTTATTATTTTATTTACAAATAAAAAATATATATTCTTATTGATCCAGTCTAATTAGGAGTTGTCATACATATTGTTATTTGTCTATTATCATAAAAAAAACTCTAACAGATCATCTATTTTTAGTGAATTTATTCAATACTATGATATTATGTTCAGACTAAACAAGTGGGAATTCACAATACTCATGAATTGATTGTAATTATCAAGTTTTAATTTCGTTAGTTTACAATTAACCTATAATAACTTTTAATTAAAGTTCACTCAGAGTTTAACATTTTGTGTATGAATTAGTTAGCTCAGTGACCAGTATTGTCATATTGTTATTCACTTATTCATGTCGGGAAGTTGTTATTAATAATTTAGTTTTCATAAGTAATCGCCCACAATTTGCTTTAATGCACATTTATGTTTCTTCGGATTTTATATTGTTCGATCCTTATAACAAGTATTTCGATATATATATATATATATATATATATATATATATATATATATATATACTTAATATTTTTGCTTTCTCGTTCGTCTGCTGCTGTCATATGTATGAAGTATAATTACATATAACACTTCAGTATTTTATTAATAAACATGATTAAGTCTATCAGTACGCATGAAGTTAATAGAGAAACCATATTTTCTCACTCCACGTTGATATTGGAATCAACTATAGGGGAATAGTATCTTTGTAGTTGATATGAAAACTGATTTGTAGTAGAATGAATTCATTTTATTTTGTAAATATTGTTGGCTTACCTTTTTTTATTTTTTTTAAATGATTTATACAGAATAGAGAAGAACGGAATGTTGTTCAGTTGACTAGAAATTAACCTTTCAAAAAATTCTATACATTTTAGCAAAAAGTCGGTGAATCATAAAACTGGAAGTATAAACGAGCAAGATATATGTACAACAATCAGAATTACCACTCGAAGTCATGAAAACCAACAATAAAAGAGAACTCTGGCGGTTCAATTGAAGGGGTCTTGCGAAAATTGGTCTGATTTGTAGATTGTATTCTTCACAGATTGATCTCAGTTGGGATGTCATTGAGAACCAGATAATAATAAATAGATGGTTCGTTGTGGTATGGGGCTCAACCTGACACCTGAATGTTTTGGGTTCGATGCTTTGACAAGCTGTGGGTGTAGACTGTTAGTTCTTAATGGTACACTAGCTGGGAAACTATGATAACTGGTTGTATTATTTATGAAAATAAACATTGACTGGGCACACAAACAGGGAAGTCGCTGGGTAAAAACGCAATTATATAATCACTGGACAAATAAACACAAATATGTATCCAGTTAACAAGCACAGCAACGACTGAACAATGAATTAGTTTACCAAACATAACATAAAATCTCAGTGGAACTGTAAATAATAACAATCCTATTCAAGGGAGATTAGGGAACCTAATAAACGCTGGACGTGTGGATACAAGCATTCAGTGTGGGAGCCATTGGTTGCTACCATGACTATATGATTAACGTAAACAGACTTATTGTTACATCATTGTTTACTTTATAGTCCAAAGTACACGAAAATAAACCTAATTATCTTATAAGCCATCGTTATTACATTAAGTTTATTCAATAATTCAACTCACACAAAATGAGAGTAAAGAAAGGAAGACAATTAGTATGATCTTGTCATGTTATGAGTCAAATCTGGAAAACTATAAGCATTATTTCAGCTATAAACAGAACATTCCTATCTAGATATATTTCTTAAGAAGTATCAGACATAAAATAGCTTACTTTGTAATTTAAATCGTGAACTTACTGACTAGATAACCACCGAACATCCGTTTCGTTCTACTACAATACTTCGCAGCATCAAACATCCACGACCCAGAAGCTGATTGGACCTAGGACTTTCACGACGAAACAGCTACTCGCTGTTTTGACTTTCAGTGCTTTACTAGATTAGATCAATTTATAATGCCAGTTATAAAATCCCGTAATCTCCCCGAACCCTTACAGTAATAACTAGATTTTTAAAATTCCAATGAAACTTGTAAATAAAAACTAAATTGTTTTGAGATTGGCAGATACCTAAACTCATTGATGAGGGCGATTACATTTGGAAGTAACTTTCTGCGATCAAACCCTTAAACGTAAGCTTGTTAGTATTGATGACCACACAACGTTGATCAAAAAACACGATGGACCGTCCGCTGCACTATTTGTATCAGGTAAACGCTCATGAGATAAATGTAATCATTTGGTGTCTACAGGATCGGAATGAGGATCAGGAAATGTAATTTGAACAGAAACATACCCTACGGTTTGTGTTTCGAACCTCTTGAAGTACGTGTAACACAAGAGAGACAGTACTAATCTTACCAATATTCGACTAATATGTAACGACCCACGAAACAATCTTACGAATAATAACACCCCTTAAAACTACACGATGCATTCGTTGTACGAGACAACTGGAAATATTCTTGGTTATAAACCTTTTTACAGTTTTCCTCAGTGGTGGTAAGAACACTAATCTCTTGACGTCCTTCTTTTTGTATGCACACGACTGCATTTACTTGGTCCCACACAAAACACCACTCATGCAATAGTAAGGTTAATAAGAGTGCGACGAACCGACAGCACCTCATATTGGAGAAATCATCGTGGGTTGAGCTGGAAGAGATTATATGACATAATTCTTCCAGAAACACAGGGAGACTGAATTAAGATGGATTCTCGCCATTTGAAGTAACATGAGCACAAGGCTAGGTAACCAATGAAATGGATGTTCGCCCACGTTACTACTATAAATCTATTGGTGTTAGTCCTACAGCTACTTCATGTAACTGCTTGAAGCCCTAACAGACCGGACCCCACCCACCAATTGGTACCTGTTAGTCTGGTGCGAGACCCGTGGGACTAGTGCCGCAAATGCCTCACAGGAAGACTTTGCAGCCTACTACCAATGGGAATCAGTTCAATCAACCGAACCTAACAGCTACATACAAGGGATAACATCAAGATATGACTAGCCAATCGTGTTAACATCCCGCCTAATTGGATAGGCCACAGGTCTCTCACCATAACCAAAACGTACCGAATGCAGCGAACCTTGAGTGCAAGGAAAAAATAGTTCAAAGACTAACAGCGATTGAATTCATATAACTGCACCCAGCCCCTGTGGATGGCATGATACTGTTAAACCTAATAGTGACTTATGTTCATCAGATCCCTAGGACCCAGTCAATGATCGGCACCAAGCACAGCAGAGCCGTATAGTAGATTCCTTGGAGCGACCACAATAGCAAGGCCAACCTGATGGGTGTGCGACGCCTCACTGACGATGATTTAAAGCAACCCTTTTATATACTCATTAAACAGATGGAACCATGTACTCAAGTGCATCGAAACACCTATGGATGTATTCATAAGCTACCACTGCTTAACTGTATGTAGTTTACTCGGGTGGGCCCAAAACCTACAGTCGTTTGAATTCCCAATTTAGTTCCTACTTTGGTACATCGAACCAAAACTAACTTAAGATTTAAGAAGACAATTCCTGGTGGAAAGACCATAGATTGATAAATACTTGCATTTGAAATATAGACAGAAGTAGAAACAATGTACAGGTAAATACAAATTATCGGTCTTCCATGTAGCTGGATATTTCCATAACGTCAGGAAGCTCGCTGATATTGACTTCAAAACGATTTTGTACTTCATTGAGTACCTTCGCGTCGACTTCATCTGATATGAAGGTTATAGCTAATCCTTTAGTTCCGAAACGACCAGCTCGAGCAACCTAAATCAGAATTACTTTACTTTTGAACTGCTAACGTACTCTGTGAAGGTAGGTGTCGGAATCTTCTGGCATATCATAGTTGAAGACGATATTGACGCGTTCAATGTCCATACCTCGGCCGAAGAGATTGGTAGCCACTAGTAAACGTTTCTGAAAGTTCTTAAATGCTTGGTAACGTTCCAAACGTTCTTCCTGAGCCATATTACGGTGCATTGCAATCGCGGGGAAGTTTTGGTCGACCAGTAACTGAGCCAAAGCCATACATCGTTGGACGGATTTGACGAAGATTATAACCTAAGGCGATATGAACAGCTTTAAATGGTATTTCAGAAAAAAGCACTTAAACGCATATGATCAGGCACTAGCCTACATCGGTATTAGCATGGCAAACATCATTTCTAAAGCTTACCTGGTTGAACTGCAGTTCATCAAGAAGCTCAAAGAGCTTTCTGTTTTTCTCATTTTCCTTGACTTTAACATAATGCTGCCGTAGACCATGCAAAGTCAACTTCGAGTCATTCTCGATAAATATTTCCAACGGCTAAAAACAAAAACGTAGTAAGTGCCGAGTAGGCGCTAATGAGAAACCACTGGCGTTATACATGGACAAAACATTAATCATTAAGAAATAGTCAAACTGCCTGCTTTTTGATTCTCCACCTGGCCCATACGAATGCGTTTGGCAAGCAAATGTGAATCACATCCAAGCGACCATCTGCCATGCTCCAAGGTCGAAAGCTGAGTCCTCGAACGTTCCAGAGCAAATGCTAGCTGATACGCTCAGTAAGTAAGGACTAAACACATCAAAATTGTACTTGGCACGGATGATCTAAGTCATCTTGGCGAACGCAAAACCAGCTCAGGTGGGAATGTGAATGGAAATAAGACAACTCCGCCAGACATTGCAACAACGTACGTCTTGCATGAAGTTTCTGCAAACAGGGCGTATTTCTTTGCTCATAGTTGCGCTAAACATCATGACTTGTTTTTGATGTGGAGTCATGCGGAATATTTCTTGAACATCACGCCGCATATCTAATATAAGTAAGTTGAGTATCATAATCTTACCGAGCGTATCCAGCATTTTATCACATTCATCAATGATGAAGTGTTTGACATGTTGTAGCTTCAGTGTTTTACTCCTCACTAGATCCAGAATACGACCAGGAGTCCCCACAACGATGTGAACGGGAGATTTTGTTAGTGTTTCAATATCCTTACGTATTGGCATTCCGCCAAAGAACACACCCACCTTCAAGGTAAAATATAGTACTCACTTCTTACCTTTATCTTTGGCATGTATTTAGAGAATCGTTCGTATTCTTTACTTATTTGGAAGGCAAGTTCTCTTGTGTGACAGAGGACTAGAACAGTTGTATTGGCTTCTCCTTCGGGGTCGAGCTGTTGTAGTGTAGCTATGACGAATACGGCAGTCTTGCCCATTCCAGACTTTGCTTGGCACAGTACGTCCATACTTAAAATGGCTTGAGGTATACATTCATGTTGAACTTCAGATGGATGTTCGAAGCCACAATCAACGATGGCTCTTAATAATTCCGGCTTGAGAATGAAATCACGGAATCCCGAACTGTGTATGGTGACGTATGCTCCTTTGACACCTTTCTTTGCTGTAGCTTCTCCATTAGGTCTTGCCTCTTGAACTGTTTCTTGCTCTTCATCCTCGTAATCCAAAAGCTCAGCTTCGTCAGCCATAGGACTACTGTGTGAGAATGAGTCAAACGAGTAGGACAAAGATGGCGAAAGTACAATCACCTAAACAACAGACATAATGCAATGAGCATTGTACAAGACAGTAACTTCAAACTTTTCTGTGGATCTGTATTGTAACAAAGAACTCTGTGTTGCAATGAGGTATAATTCTAAAAATTTTCTAAATTTTATAATGAGAAGAGTGGTTAAGTGTTACACCAGAGGTAATGCCCCTTAAAAAAGTTCGAACCGTTCTGGATGGAATAAAAGCTTTCGCTTAATGGACTTTCGTACCTATTCGCAGAAGATCATTGATTCCTTTAGGTAGGAGCTTAGGCATATTTAACAACAAAATTAAGAATATTAGTAAGTTATAGGGAGATGCTGTCCCAAGTCCGTAAGAATGTTACGTTTTCTCTTAAAAGGACCCCATGGAAGTCTCTTAAACAGCCTCAGTCGGAGGTGACTTTTTGCAAAGAGAAAAAAGTGTCTCAACAGTCCTTTCTATGTTTTTCCTCCAGTTTCTGGGTGTTACTCCTAATTTTCTGTTGGGAATGAGCTTATGTAAGTGTCTAAAGTTATGCCTAGAGGAGTTGAGGGTGCTGTAGATCGTCAGAAGGCCAACTCTAAAACGCCTATCCTCTAGTGGGTAAATATTCATTAAGTTGAGGCACCTTTCATTAGGCTTGAATTTGAATCCTCGAACTGATTTCGTGGATCGCCGTTCGATACGTTACAGAGAGCATTCCTATACTTTTGGAGTGGGAGAGGAAACACGATATCCCCATACCATAAATGGGGTCGAATAAACTGCTGAAGCTTAGGTGCAAAGTCCTCCCATCGAACTGGTCGAAAATTCAATTCAAAGTTACCAGTGCAAAGTTTGCTCGAAAGGCAGTTTTGTTGCAGTTAGCGTAAAACTTCAGATCACAGGATACCGACACTAACAGGTCTTTTTCAGCTTGGTATACCTCTAGAGTGAAGTTACCTAAATCGTGCTCGTAGTCTGCAACAGGTTTCAAATGAACTAATTCACTCTTTGAAGGGTTAAAGGTAGGTCAGTTGTCTGCCCAACTTTGAATTTGCGTCAGATCCTCCTGAAGTGTCAACTTATTATCTTGGTTGTAAGCTCCTCTATCAAGTTCCACATCGTCAACGAAAAGTAATGAACCAGATGAGAGTTTAAAGATCATTTATATAAATGAAGAAAAGAAGTGTTGGTTCTGAACTCCAAGGGACCTCACTAGGACATTTCGTAGCCTAGGATGAAATGAAGCGTATCCTGACCGTAAGAAATCGATTATTTAGATATGAGGTAGACCGATCATTAAAGGGTTAGTTGATACTTAACCTTTTGGGCTTATTGATGAGACAAATATGACTGACCTTACCAAAAGTATTTCGGAAGCCAAAGTGTTGTAGCGGTAAATAAATCCCCAAAATAAATAGCTCTGTAAGTTTTCTACATTGGATGCTGACAATATGTTTTAGTGTACTCATCTAGCTGAAGGCACTCGGTCATGCATCCGCACCAGATCACGTGTGGTAACGCTGTGCTCAACATCTATCTCAATCGCTAGCCAGAGTAGATCAGAGAATTCCGATCTATTGGCAATCGCCAAATACACTCTTCCGATCTCCTCGACTCTGTCTTTTGATTTCTCCCGGTGGGTACAAATAATATTAGAAGATGTTGCTGGTAAAAGCGTTGTCAAACACTCAATACCTGTGCCATCTTCATTGATGAGCCCGACGTGATCTGGTACACCAAATCGTAAACTGTGAGTCTGTTCCATTTTGGGATTCTATATATCATTGCTTTATTTTAATTTTTTAAACATTGTGATATTTTCCCCTCGAGTTTCAGGATATCTATATATTTTTCCCTCGTATTTTCGCACTTAATATTCCCCTATGACCGAACAGACTCCTAAGGTATTAAAGATTAAGACCATGTACCCATCCTCGTTCCAACTCATGTCCTTCTGGCCCGAAAATATCGAAGCCTGGTTCTGATACGCAGAAGCCGACTTCCACGAGCACGGCGTGAACGATACACGTGCACAATTCCTCGCAGTAGTCAAGGCACTACCGCGGGAACTCAACAGGTACGTAACACCTAGTATGTTTACTAGTGATGTTTCAGAACCTTACGAAATCTTGAAACGTTCGATTCTTAAACGAGGAGACCTAACCGATCGACAAAGGTTAGATCAACTCTTTAATAACATAGACCTGCAGCACGGTTCTGCGACGGACATGTTGCAAAGGATGAGAGAGGTTACAGGCCTAAGAACTAGTAACTTCTTTTTCTGGCTGCAGATTATCCCCAGTCAAAATTAAGCATACGATAGACCCACTTTATAAGCCACTACTCGATAAGTATCCTGGGATTCATCAAACGCAACCGAAACTACCGTGTATAACCAGCAACGTTACACACCACCTCACGACTACAGGACCACCTGTATTCTCTAAAGCACGACGACTATCACCTGAAAAGCTGAGGTTGGCCAAAAACGAGTTCGATCACATGATAAACTTAGGAATCATACGACCGTCAAATAGCCCATATACATCTCCGTTGCACATGGTCCCTAAAAAGGACAGCAACGATTGGAGTCCAACAGGCGACTATCGGCGATTGAATGCAAAAACCATTCCCGATCGTTACCCGTTGCCTCACATTCACGATTTGACAGCTACCTTGAAAGGTACAACTGTTTTTTCGAAAATCGACTTGGCTAAAGCATATAACCAAATCCCTATGGCCACAGACGATATACCGAAAACAGCTATCATTACTCCTTTTGAACTCTATGAATTTTTGCGAATATCTTTCGGTCTAAGAAACGCTGCCTAAACATTCCAAAGGTTCATAGACGACGTTTTTTGAGGTCTTAACATCGTACATGCGTATGTTGATGACTGCCTAATCGCAAGTCCGGACAGAGAACCATATCTCAAGCATCTGGGTCTTGTTTTTGATCGACTACAAAAACATGGCATTACTGTAAACGTTCAGAAATGCCAAGTCGGGACCGTCTCAGTAGACGTCTTAGGACACACTATAGATGCTCAAGGCATTCGATCCCTTGAAACCAAAGTGGCGGCAATTCTGGATTACCCAGAACCGACCACGATCAAGCAACTACGAACTTTTGACGGCCTTGTAAGTTTCTATAGACGATTCTTACCTAAATGCGTTTTACTCATGAAACCGCTGACCAATCAACTTCGTGGAAATGCGAAATCCATTAATTTGGACGACACCGCACGAAAAGCATTCTCCACAATTAAGGAACTCATCGCTAAAGCAACAATGCTTGCAAATCAGGACACCGAAGCACCCATTAGTATCGCAGTAGACGCATTCGACTCAGCAATCGGAGGAGTCTTACAACAATGTGTTAACAACTCCTGGCAACCATTGGCAATTTTCTCTAGACGGTTGCTAGACACCGGATCGAGGTACAGCACATTCGGTAGGGAACTCTTAGCTATGTATTGTGCTACACGGCATTTTCAACATTATATCGAAGGCCGTGAATTCACTCTTTTCACTGACCATAAACCGCTTACCTTCTTTTGAAGCTCGTCCTCTGACAAGTACTCACCCCATGAGTCTCGACAACAAGACTACATTTCGCAGTTTACTTCAGATATTCAACACATCTCTGGAGCAAACAATGTAGTCGCAGTCGCTTTGTCTCGCATAAGTTTCTTGAATGGTTTTCAAGGAATCGACCTTCTTAAACTCGCCTAGCTTCAAAAAGAAGACACTGATCTTCAGCACGAGTTATCGTCTACAACCCTCAAACTACGCATCAAACAGACGGGAACAGGTAAGGAAACCTTACTTTGTGACACATCTACCGGTAGGGATCGCCCAATCGTCCCGAAACTTTATCGACGCAATGTCTTCAACACAGCACAAACTTTCTCATTCAGGTGTTCGTGCAACCACCAAGCTTATAGCAGAACGGTTTTGCTGGCCTGGTATGAATAAAGACGAGAGGGAGTGAGCACGCTCCTGTGTAAGCTGCCAAAAATCTAAGGTCATCAGACACAATAAATGTCCCTTAGGCTCATTTAAAACTCCCAATGCTCGTTTCGACCATGTTCATCTGGATTTGGTAGGACCATTACCAGATTCAAGTGGATACTCTTACCTCTTAACCTGCGTAGACCGTTTCACTCGATGGCCAGAAGCAGTACCTATCAAAAACATCACTGCTGAAACGGTGGCCTGCACATTCGTCGAACGATGGGTAGCAAACTTGGCTGCCCTTCAACCATTACTACAGACTGCGGACGTCGGTTTGAATCTGAACTTTTCCTTCGTCATTTTTAGGAATCACTCGCTTCCGAACGACTGCCTGCCACCCACAAGCAAACGGGTTGGTAGAACGTTTTCATGGACAACTAAAAGCTTCACTATCAGCTGCAAACGTTTCACAGTGGACCAACGCTCTTCCACTCATCTTTCTAGGTATTCACAATGTAGTGAAAGCTGGCATTGGATACACTGCGGCTCAACTCGTTTATGGAACGACACTTCGACTTCCAGGAGAATTCGTGGATCCTTCATCCTCCTCAATGAGCATGGATCTAAACTCCTACACGAACAGGCTTACGAACGCAATGCGTTCAGTTAAACCTGCTTCCACTCGATCACAATCAACCGATGTTTTCGTTCAACCTGACTTACGATATAATACACACGTTTTTGTTCGTCGAGACGCACATCGACGACCTTTCGAATTAGTATACGAAGGACCTTCCAAAGTTGTTCAACGCAAACCTAAGTACTATATAATCAATAAGAACGGAACAAACGATAGCATCAGCATCGATATCTTAAAAGCAGCGTATTTAGAATGAAATCCTATTCACGTCGATTTCCTTTCGGTACAATCACACAACACGACTCCTACACTTATAATACACCAACTGACAGGCAACACACCCGATGGTACTTCAATATTACCTGAAAATAAACTTAAGACGATGCGTTCTGGAAGAAGAGTAAGATTTCCA